GACAATATCGAGCTAATGGCTGCGAACTTCTAATCTATTTCATAAAACCACGTTCTATATTACATCGAACTAGGATTATTTTAGAAATCGATATGAAATTCAAAGTGTAAAAATGTCTAGTACTTTGAATGTTTTAAAAAATTATTCGAGATAAAGATGTATGGAACTACTGAAAATTACTTTAGATTCCTTTTATGTCCCATAAATTCCCATTTTTCCCGCGCTTTTTGAAAAATCGAAGATGGCGGAAAAACCTGTACGTTTGTGGCGCTCCCACCAGTTGGTGGCGGAACTTGGAACTAATTATAAACTTTTTTTAAGCAGCGGCATCTGGCGGCGACTTTGCGAACTAAACAAGAAGTTCTGGGTTTAGTTCCAATTTCCGCCACCACTACTTTTGGTGGTAACATGAATTCTAACAAATTGCACTTTTCTTATACTACTTAATCTTATTTTTAACGCGACTTTAACTGTATTTAGCAATTATTATTGCTTTATTAATGAAAAATATGGGATAGAGGAAGTGATAAACGTAATAATAATCGCTTATGTAACATTTAACTGTTTATTATTGAAAAAATTGTTAGACAATGTACAATTTACAACTGTATTTGTATAAAGTTAACAATAATTGTCTTAAATACTACTTATGTACTCGATTTTACAATATATTTATTATAATATATGCATTAACTCAGTAAAACACGGCTTAAATATTATTCAGACGTAGTGTAATTTACCCGTCGCAGATAAGTTCCACTTCTGAAACTGGTAGATGTTCCGTACGATCTTCAAAGCTTTGGCTGCATACAATAAATGTGCGTAATAAATTGCAGTATCCCTTGGCCACATTCAATCTGTTATTGTTACCTCTAGGTGACGGGAGAGTGGACGGTAGTGAAATGATTGAGTCACATGCGCTTGAAACAAGGTCTTTATTACGGTTGTCGTGTAACTCTCGAGTTTGGTTGGTTCTTGCTCGTGCAACTGTAGCAAATGAGCGCAGACTGACTAAAACTTCTGGGCTGAATGGATTTTATCCAAACGAGGTTCCGTTCATTGGCGTACGAATCCAATGTCCCTAAATAAACTACGCTATGCACATGTACTGTAGTACCACCGACTAGGTTCGGTGATGTTATATCATCACAGTTGTTACAACAATTTTATACATTAATATAAATCTTTACATTCCGTTCACGTTCTTGCTTATTGCAATACATGTCCAAATGAACCAATCACGTCGCGGAGAATTTGAATTTGAATGCGAGTTAAGCAATTATAATTTTGAGTGACAGTTGCGATCCGTCGAGCGGTATGTGACAAGGCTCGATAGCGTGTATAACAATTTAAGAACGGAGTAGCCTATTATTACAATTTTCATGCTTCGTTTAAAACACCAGTGAAGAAAACATGTCTGAGAGCGTCAAGGTGGGAATTAAAGTGAGACCCTTGATCGAATGTGAAAAAAACAAGAATTTGCCGATACAATGGATCGTACAAGGAAATTCCATTGTTTCTTTAGATCCAGAGACGATAAAAAGGGGGGATAGTGAATTTCATTTCGGTATGTCTTAATAATTCTAAATCAGATCCCAATAATATTTTTACTCGTCGAACATTTTATTGCGACGAAATATAACCTACTTTTCGGCTGTATCATGTGACGTATCTGCCGAACTGTAAATGAAATAAGTAAACAAACATTCGTTACAAGTTATCGTTGTTTGATCGAAATGCAATTGTTTTTTGCGCCATATTATGTTACGACAAAAGATGATTTCGTAATTCACTAATTAATAATGAATATTTAGTATGTAATATGCGTATAGATAAATATCACAATAATACGTGATATGTTTGTTATATTATCGGTTCAAGCCATGAGTAGGCAACGGATGATCATGCGAGTATAGGCTTTTGTAAACAAATTTATAGGAATTAAACGCAACCAGGAATTTGTTTATTTTATTTAAGGTTCTATTGACTTGTAAATGAAATTATCATCTCATTATAGTTTATCAACCTTTTGATTATATTAAATTTTAAACAGTTAAGTATGCTATGAATGCATAAAATCCGCAGTCTAGTTATACGTTACTTTAATTTTACAGAAATAACATTTTTCAAGAAAAATCATATCACCTATCCAAGGTGAATGAATAAATTAAAGTCGATTATTGATTATGAAGGAAAATATTTATAACAGACTAACATTAATTATAAATTGTCCTAGAACAGAATAAATTAAAAACAGAAAAATGACATTTTTTATGATTTAAAATAAAATTTTTAATCTATTTTTTTTACTGAAAAGTTCAATTCACCATAAGTTAATAAAAGTATTCTGTACTTATATAAGTAAATCAGTGTAAGATTTTATTAATTCTGAATACTTTGTTTCTAGATTATATTTTTGATTTGGATGCAACCAGTTCTAATGTATTCGATAGTATTGTAAAACCTATTGTTATTGCCACAGTAAATGGTTTTAATGGAACAGTATTTTCTTATGGACAGTGTAGTTCTGGTAAGACACATACTATGATAGGGAATTCAGGTGAACTTGGGATAATACCACTAAGTATAATGTACATGTTTAAGACTATCTCTAATACTATTGAACGAGAATTTTTGTTAAGGTTTGCACTTGTTTATATTCATCATATAAACTATTGTATTTCAACATGAAAATGTAAAAATCTTCATACTTTTCAGGGTATCTTACTTAGAAGTACAGAATGAAACAATAAATGACCTGTTGAATAAGGATGGAATTGAATTAAAATTTCATAAAGATAATGAGCATGCAACTGTTGATTGTAAAGAAGAAATTGCAAACACTTCGGATAAAATGTTATCTATAATGAAGAAAGGAATTAAAATTAGAAAAACAAGAGAAACTGATAGGAATGACAGTATTAGTGGTCATAGTATATTTCGAATTGTAAGATTGTGTAAGATTTATTTTATTTTAAATAGTTGGTATCTTAATGTAATAGGTTTACAACCTTTTCAGACAATTGAAAGTCGTGAAATTAGTGGAGAATCAAAAAGTATTGTGCAAGTATCACAGTTAAATTTAGTAGATCTTGCTGGTTTTGAAAGTGCACGTGAAATTGCTGGTATTCAAGAACCGCAACAGACTGATAAGTCTCTTTCTATGTTTGAATCCATAATTGTACAGCTAAGTCAGTCACAAAATGAGCAACGAGACATTAATGTTCGCCACAGTAAATTAACTGAGCTCTTACAGTCGTCATTAGGTGGTAATTCTTTAACAGCCATAATATGCACAATAATACCTGTTGCTTCAAAAGAAACTTACTTTACTCTATCGTTAGTATTTTATTACTATAATATTATTCATGCATCTGTACCATTTTTATTTTAAATATATTATTGATTTCCTGTTAGGTTTGCACGTCAAGCTAAAAACGTTAAAAACAAGCCAAGAAAGAACAAAGTTTCATCTGATGCACCATTCCTAATACGTTATTCAGAACAGTTAACTAAGCTTCAAACAGAGCTACAGGTTTGTTTTTTACATTTTTTCTAATGTATTGATAATACTGCTAGATTTTTGTATAATAATTACCACATTTTATATTCAATACGTTTCATCAGAGAATAAAAAATGGAAAGTCACCCATAGAAGTAGGAAGTATAGAACCTAAATGGCAAGAGAACTATCAAATTAATCACTTACTAGAAGAACGTGTCAGGTTGCTAAAGACTCAAATTATTTCTGGATGTAATGCTAATTATGCAGAACCGGTTAAATGTAAATCTCGACGAAGACAAAGTTGGTGTAATCCTGGAACATTCAAATCACATTTGCCCGTGTTCCAAACTAAAACTGGTTTACCAACGATAAAAGAAATGTCACCTGAAAAACCACAGAGAAAAAGCAACATGCAATCGATTGCTGTCACAAATCAGAGTAAATTAACCATGTTGCACAGCCTTTTTATCAGAAACACTTGCATAGTGCAATTGTTTATCAATTATTTTTGTTTTCAGCATTTCAGACAGGTTTTACTGACTTTGAATTAGACTTAATTGAATGTAATGAAGGTTCTGAAGTTAAAGAAAATGGTATAAGTCTTGGTGAGATGGAATTTACAAATAATGTACTTACAGAAGAAACTGAAGGTAATAACTCCTGTATGACACCAGAAAAACAAGATTCGTCGGTACAAACTTCAAGGTATTTATTTTTCATTAGGGATGACAATATTTTTGTTAGAAATTTAATGTAACTCAATAATTGTAACAGCAATCAAGGCTCTCCTAGCACACCAAAAAATGTTTTAAGGAAATATATTTGTGATTTGACCCAAGATCTTATTGAACTTCGTGAGTTTACAACTTTAGAGAAACAATTAATGTGTGGAGAAGGTCATTGCAACTCACCTGTAAGTGTAATCAACTTTTACGTATAAGATATTTTAATCTTTTCAGCGACATTGTATGATGTTATATCTATTTCCAAGAATCTAGACGAGCACACTGCAGAAGAGTCTGCTTCATCCAGCTTTAAACAAAACGAACTTTTTGAGTATTCCTCAAATGTGGCAATACAGTTGGAAGAAGAAAAAGTAAAGTTAGCAGAGGAACTTGAATTAAAAATTCAAGAACTAGATGAAATAAAAAACGACATTCAAGGATTTAAGTTAGATGTAGAAAAGTTGCAGAATACTATTTTTTTGTTAACAAATGAAAACATGGAAATGTCAACGAAACTGACCGCCGAGAAGGAACGTTCGAAACAGATTGAATTCAATCTTCAGCGAACAATTGACGAACTTTACGCTCGCATTTCAAAAGTTACGGACGAAAAAATTTCTTTGGAAAGTGACGTAATGGTTCTGAATGATCAGCTACAGTCTCTTCGATTAAAGACATTAGAAGTGTATAGTGACGAGCAGATGCTTGTAAAATATCAGAATAAAATTGATGCATTGAAAACAGAGAACATTGAATCGACTGCTATCATCGCAGAAAAAAATAAGGAACTTGAAAGCATTAAAGAAAGTAAGTCGCTGTTATACGACCATGAATGTATCTACAAAGATAAGACTGCGCTTCTTACGGAAGAAAAGGCCAGCTTGGTATTGGAAAATAACGAACTTTCGACCGATTTAATAGACAAGATTGAGGAGAATGACATGTTAAGAGAAGAATGCGACATTCTGAAGAATAAAATATCAATAACGGAACAACATGTGAATGCTGACGAAAACGATGTGGAACAATTGAGATCGGAGAATAAACTTCTGAAAGCTGAGATAATGGAATTGAAGATTAAAGTAACAATGTTGTCGGACGAAAATGTCAGGTTTTCCAATAATTTGTTAGAGACTATGGAAGATCTTGATCATTCACGCAATGAAAAGTTGGCTAACAATTCATTGCATTCATCTAGCGTATTTGACAATACTATTAAAAAAAATAAGTCTGCGAAAGAAATATTGCTAGAAAACAACAATGAAACCTTAGCGGACAAAGTTACAATGTTACAGGACAAAGTTGATCACTTAACGCGTTTAAACAAAAAGTTGAGCGAGTTAAAGTTATCCTCCTGCAGTCAATGCGTTCATTTGAAGAGTTTGAACGATAGTCGTCGCGTACTCAAGCTCGAAGCAAAAGCTCTGAACTGTAAACTGTATGAGTTGCAGAAGAAATTCGATCAGAAATGCGCCGATACCGAAGCATTGAAACAGAAAGCCAATCAAGAACTAAATTTAAGCTTTGTCGATGCATCTTTGAATGCTAGTTTCGCGGATGGACTAAACGTGAGCTTTGTCGAGGAGAAGGTTCAGCACTTGCATAACGAATTGCAAATACTAAAAGACGACCGCGAAAAACTGTCGGTGATGTACAGAGAAAAATGTGACGAGCTTGAAAAGCTCCACGATGAAGTAGGCGAATCAACGAATGTAGACTCTAAGTCAAAGAAACATGTAGTTAAACACGAGAGCAGGATTCAACAGATCCAACAGAGTATTGACCAAGTGAGGGATGATATCGACGAATTGAAGAAAAATAGTACAAACTTTACTTCTGTGTTTAATAAATTTAGAACAGAAAAAGCAAGTTTATTGGATGAGATAAATGCATTAAGACATATGAATGAGAAGCTGCAACAAAAAGTGTCGGACACTGAGATATCGGCAGCCACAGCTACAGAGAAGGCACATATTCTAGAAACTGAATTATTAAGTATGAGCAAAGAGATTGAAGAGTACACTCTGAAAGAGAAAGTAATAAGGGGCGAAAAATTAACGTTAGAAGTAGAACTGGAAGACCTAAAAGCTGAAAAAGAAAATAAGGATATATGCATTACCGCACTACACAAAACCATAGATGATTTAAATGAATGTATTTCTTCTCTGAAGAATGAATTAGATTTAATGACAAGTCAGAGAAACGAGTTAACTGTTTCCACAGAAACCACTGAACGTAAATACACAGATGAACTAGAACTGTTGAAGAAACAATTTCAGGAATTGGAGAAAGAAAAGAAACAGTGCATAGACACAGAGAAACGTGCAACCTTATGGGCCAAGGAGTTGGAAGCGGATGTAAACAAGCTACAAACGGATTTAGCAAGGCAAGAATGTCTCTATAAAGAGCTGCAAGGCAAAGTTTCTCAACTGGAAGGCCTCTTAGAAGAGAGTGAAAACGATAAGGAAATCCTGAAGCAACAATTGCAAACACTCGAAGTTCAGTTAACTGATTCTAAGGATAATTTAGCAGTTAAATATAAAACAGAGTTTGAGTCTATAACAAGAAAATTTGAAGAATATACGAAAGAATCGGAGATCAAATTAAAGAAAATTAACGAAACATTAAACAAGTATGTCGACGAAAATGATAATTTAACACAAGAGCTTGCAAAACTCCGGGACATTGAATTGAAATTCCAAGATATGAAAGAAAAGAACGAACATGTATTTATCGAGGAGAAAACTTTAGCCAATGAAAATGAGAAATTAAAGGAGGAATTAAATACTGTTCGAGAATGTATGATGAAAGAATTGAAGTCGTTCAAGAGTAAAGTAAATTCAGTGGATTACTTAAGTAAGACTGCAAATGAAATTTTCATAATCTTTTTGCAAACCCTTATGTCTAAAGAAGAAGAAGTAATTAAAACCATGAGGGAATTATTTGAAAAGGACAAACAAAAACTGGTAGATGAAAAAAGGCAGAGTGCTGACGCAAAGAAACGTGTGACATCGTGGGCCAAGGAATTGGAAATGGAAACTGAAAAATTACAAATGGATTTGACGAAACGAGAGACCATGTATAAACAACAACAAGATAAGATTTATCATCTGGAGTATGTTTTGAGGGATGCAAACTACGAGAAGGAGACACTTAAAGAAAAGGTAGAAACACTTGAAGTTGACTTTAACAATTTGCAAGCAGAGTTTGACAAGCAAAGTAAAGTGGACATTCGGCAGGAAGAAGCGATCTCCGTTGCCCAGAAAAGAGAAAAGGCAGTACAAGAGGACTTTAAAAAGAGAGAAATCGAACTTCAATTTAAAGTAAGATCTGAGAAAGAGATTTATGAGAAGAGAATAGACGAACTTGTATACGCTATAGAATCCTACAAGACAAAAAATATGGAATTAAAGGGTAATATTGAAGGACTCGAAGTTAATGAAAAACAGTTGAAGAATATTATAGAAGCAAATGCATCTGAATTGAAGGCAAATAGTCAGACTATACATAAACTGAACATTGAATTGGAACAACTTACAGAAGCCTATAACGAAGTGAATCATGAAGTAGAGCAAAAGACATCACACATCGAAGAAATCAAAGCGCTCTTGAAAAGTAAATGTGATAAGATATCCGAATATAAAGCCAAGCTTGATACTGTTGTACCGGATTACGAAATACTAAAGGACCAGGTGAAAGAGAGAAAAGCAAATATAGAACGGTACAAGGAAGAAATAGGAGAACTAAAGATGGAGAAAGAAAAACAAATAGCAATGATTAAGGATAATTTAAATTCAGAGGAAATAAAAAATGTTGGTTTAAACAAGCAATTACACGAACTGAATAATAAAAACATAGCTTTAGCGGAGGAACTAGATACCCTGAAAGAAAAATATGAAGAGTTGCAACATGCAAATGCAAAACTGGAGAGGAAGATTAGGAACAGTACAAGTAAGGTGAAAGCAGAAGCAGACATGGAAGATTTGAGAGATGTAAACAAAAGATTACAAAATAATTTGGAGGGAGCAAGTAATCGTATAACTGAACTTCAGGATAGTAAGAATAAAATTTTAAAAGAGTTAGTGAACTTGAAGGGTCAATACGAATTATTGTCACAAGAAAACATGGAAATTAAGAAAACATTGGCATCATACAAATCTAGACAGAGTATACCAAATTCTTCTCAGGATGATGGCAGATACGACGCGCTTCTTCAAGAAAAAAATAAAATTGCATTAGAATTAGAAGACAAAAAGTTATTATTAAAGCAAAAAGAGAAAGAAGTTAGAGAACATGTGAGTCGTGTACAAGATTTAACTGTGAAAAATAAAGAATTTGATGAATATTTGCGAGACCATGCTACAGTTATACGTGAACGTGAGGCGGAGATTTCACAATTGAAGGATAAATTATACGTTCATCAAATAGAAAATAAATTGGTTCACGAGTTGGAGGAAAAATTAAACATCCTTCGAGAGGAAAATAAGAAACTTCAGGAAGAACTTGAAATGCTTAAAACGAGACCGCAAGTGGACATGAAGCAAATAGACGATATAAAGTTGCATAATGAGAAAGTTTTCCACTCGTTGAGAAAAGAGATTTCGGAATTACAAGCGAAACTGAATGAATACGAGAATAAGTTGGAACTGAAGAGTAACAGTAGTTGTTCAAGATCAACTAGCCCAGCCTTCGATATTACTAGAAGAAGACATAGCAGAAATAAGATTTTTAATGAAAAGAGACAAATAGAAAATCTAACATGTGAAATAGATGTCGATGAAAGTGACGAAATCTGTCAAATGTTGCGAAAGAAGATTCAAGAATTAGAATTGCAGATAGTTTCAAAAAATGGACAAATAGCAACATTAGAGATTCAAATTCAAAGTGAAAACTTTCCTTACCAACAAAAGTGTAAAGAATTGGAAGAACATCTTTGTTATTCTTTTATTTTTGACAGAATGCAGAACTTCGTTCTGAAGTAAAAAAACTTCAAAAAGCTATGTATGATATTAACGCATGGGAATGTGATACATGCAGAAAATGGAGGACAAACAGAAGAGATCAATACTGTCAAACGTCACCAAATAATGCATCACAATTATTTACATTAAATAATGAAGTAGGTGATATAAGTAAAAGTACGAGGTGCATTCCATTCTTAATTAATATTAATTGAATCATTATCATAGGGTCATTTAAAGATAATAAAACTGGAAAAAGAGAAGGCATTGATGAAGGACGTGTGCCGGTTGCGATGTCGACGAATAAAAGAACTTGAAGATAAAGTACAGGAACTTTCAAAAGGAAAATGTAACGACCAGTATACTCGTTCTGGATTATTCGATAAACAGTTTCATTCGGAGAACAATATGAAACCGTGAGAAACATAATATTCAGTATTTTTGAAATAGTTTCTATTAGTGTTATTGCTTAGTGATATTAGGTAACTGAACTGCATATATTTGCTTTTAAAATCCAGTGATATTTATTGTACTATATTTACCAAAGTGTTAGACATATAATTGCAAGTAGTAAGGTATAAATTGATGGGAAATGATTGCTCTACTTATATGCTGAGGACCATTTTCATAGAATTAATAATTACTTGTATATTCTGCAGAAAAAATATGCATGCCATGCTTGGAATTTGCATGTTCATGCTTTATTAGTGATTGTACTTTTGTTTGCTTTGCTTTTTAAAATGTTAAACTTTCTGTATTTACATGTTCGACGATTAATATTTTCTACAGAACAATGAAAGAGAACGTTCCAGCTAATTTATTGGAGCTTAACAAGCCTTTAGCATATAGAAGAAACCTATGGAACAATTATTAGCAAAAAATGTTCGCGTCTTCCAGATGAACAAATTAATACTATATAACATAGCTACCAAGTATTCTTAGATATAAAGAGTTCGGTGTTTAAGTATTACATTCATTCCTCCTTTTTTTTACAGATTGTAAATAGCAGTATATTATCATTAAGAATATTTATATATTTGCGGAATTCTATTTTTGTACTTCCTTATGATAATGTAAATAACTGTATCATTGAATTTTATACTTCTTATGACGTTAAAGATGGCGATACGTGTATCAGTCTCCTTCACGCCAGCTTTATAATTATATGTAAAGTTTGTGATTTTGGAAAATATTCACGAAACAATTGTATAAACATTGATACATAATGAAATGTGCCATACCTTAATTGTTTTTCTGATATTTGATTTCATTTACGTAAATTGTTTAATTGTGACATATCAAATTAGAAAAATGTGTTAGAATTCAAATGCGTTACAAACATAGTTAATCAAGATTGTTAAATATCAATTCATTTCTTAAAATGCAAACAATTTATTTTCAGCACATGTCTGATATTGCAATTCCTTTCAATAAAGTGCTCTGTACTAAACATAATAGTGTTTTATATTAAATTAGAATAAATAACAATGGTTATGAACGTTATCTTGTAAAAAATATGCAAAATTAAAATTATTCAACATACAGAATATTTTAAATTATCTGATTATCCTGCAGGTATGTTCGAAAATATATTACCGATTTACTAGAAAAATTACCTAATTCCCTACTTCAGAAAATTGAGGTTGAATACGTATTAGTGCCTCTAAGAGAAAGCTTTCTATCTTTACAATTTCAATTACGGAATTAAATTTATTATGAATTAACGTGTAATATAAAAAATTATTGATAATCTGCATACATAACTTTATAAAATAAACTGTATAAGGAAATTCAGTTATCTTTCTGTTGTTGTCTGCCCTGATTCTACGAAAGATAGTTAACCTATGTGATCCGTAGAATTGCGGTCTGTTGTTTACAGTGAACGAAAACAACATAAATCTGTTTCATAGTATAAAAAGTAAATTAAATACCAAAAATGGATTTCCAAAATCGCCCGGGAGGTAAAACTGGCGGTGGAGGTGTTGCTTCCTGGTCAGAAAGCAACAGGGACAGAAGAGAACGTTTACGACAACTTGCGTTAGAAACTATCGACTTAAACAAAGATCCGTATTTTATGAAAAATCACTTAGGATCTTACGAATGTAAACTGTGTTTGACGCTTCATAACAACGAGGGTAGTTATTTGGCCCATACACAAGGTAAAAAGCACCAAGCCAACTTAGCTAGAAGAGCTGCTAAAGAAGCAAAGGAAGCACCGCAAACACTTGCACCTGAAAAGCCCCGAGTGGAACCTAAGAAATTCGTAAAAATTGGAAGACCGGGTTACAGAGTAACTAAACAGCGCGATCCAGAATCTGGGCAACAAAGTTTATTGTTCCAAGTTGATTATCCGGAAGTCGCAGACAATGTAATTCCACGGCACAGGTTTATGTCAGCATATGAACAGAGAGTTGAACCTCCTGACCGTAAATGGCAATACTTGTTATTTGCAGCAGAACCTTATGAAACTATAGCTTTTAAGGTAAACTAAAGACAAAATTTAAATGTATCGTTGGTGGAGCAAGTGTAGTGATTTGGTGTCTTTTCAAATGGCCCTCTAAGCAGTCTTTTGTATTGCATATACTTCTATATGTAGAGATTCCATCTCACTGTCTGAAAGTGATCTGACACTTACAAAGCCATAAGTATTAGAGTCTAAGACTTTATTACATAAATCACAATTTAATCCTTTATCTAACATGACTTGGTAAAAAATATCTAAACACAATTATTTTAAGTCAAATATTTCATAATTCCGAATCTTCAGCATTAAGAAATGTTTGTATTAAGTACTTAAAGATCACTGCATACATTTCAACAGCAATATATAGCCTTCAAAAAACATTGTTTAGCAGTGTTACCTTCTAAAATGTTCTGTGTTTATTTTTTAGGTACCTAGTAGAGAAGTTGAAAAAGCAGAAGGAAAGTTTTGGACACATTGGAACAAAGATACCAAACAGTTTTTCCTACAGTTTGCATTTAAGAATGAAAAACCATCAGTTGGTAAAGTGCCTCCACCCCCTGTACCTTTAATACGACCTGGATTAGGGCCACCAATGGTACCTGTACCACCACCACCGAGACCACCAATGTTTAATCCAGTGCCTCCACCACCAGCACTTCTAGCCACAGGCATGCAAATACCACCCCCACCTCCACATCTAGCATAATAACAATATAAATCCAATCTGTACATTTTTCCTAAACAAGGAGAGTATCTTTTATTTCTAATGTATTATTTTAATGAGTATCTTGTGTATAAAATATGAAAATGTACTGCCGTTGTATTATTATAATGAATCCCTACAACTTCATGTGTAAAAATAATCTTTCAATTTTATATTTTTCACCCTTGAACGACAATGTTTGGCTCTAATTTCACTCGAGTTTCTAATAATTTTTTCTAATTTAAACTAATAGTTTTCTTTAAACATTAAACCCGGTAAAGACATTACTTAAAGAAATAAATTTCGAAATGGATGTTAAAAAAAATATGAAGGGATGCCAACGGACCTAGGTATTAAGTTCCAGCGGTGCCAAAATTCCCTACCGTAACAACAATGTGACGTCATACAGAATACATTAATACGACTTGTCCACACCATGGTATTACTACTACTAATGAAAGTACGACATCGCGTCCTACTTATATATGTACTCTCTCTACTACACCCTATTACGTCACTTTGTCCCCACGTGGTCATGTTTTCCCTACTCCTGGTAACGTTACTAATACTTGGCCGTAATGTCTATTTTTCGAAAGTCAAAGTATGGATGTTAAAGCAAGTTAACAAGTCTCATAGATATTCTATTTTTTTTTTTGGTTGTTTAAATTTTATTAAGAATATAAACACAGGAGAATGTACAGCAAGTTGTTCCGCCGAGATCTCGATACCTGAAATAAACAGAAACATGCTTGTTAGACATATTGAAAAACATCAAAACATTACTGAAGAAAAGTAAAATTTCATCAGGATTTTATTAGAACAATCTACACGGTTTTAAGTGTTGTACGCACTTTTCTGTCCGCCCGTTCATACTATCATCATATTAATATTCAAGTAACTAATTAAAAATATGCATTAAAAAAAATACCTGCATATTTAAGCAGAGAGGACACAAGCACCCCCAACAGCCTTGATTTTGTCTTCTGCCAATTTACTGAAGAATTTGGCTTTAACAATAACTGGTTGTTTAGGAAGACGACCTTTTCCTAGCAGTTTGTAGTATCCCTATTAAAAAAAAAAAAATTAAATAACATGAATAAGAACATAAACTTAAATGTGCTTACAAAATGAATGTGTAATTTCAAACTCACTGCTTTTACAAGGTCAATTACTGGTACTTTGGTCTGTGAGTCCTTATACTTAAGCCTCTGTTGTTCTGAGACCAGTGTCCATAATTTGTCCAAATTTAAAGAAGGACACCACTTTGTGTTACGTCTCAAATGGTAATTTCGCATACCAAGCTGTAAATGGAAATATAGCACATGTATTTACATCTTATATTAAATATTATACATTATATATCTATGTATGTAATCAGAATAGAAAGTACATTCAAAGTAATTCAGTTCGCCAGTGAAATATATCCTATCATCATATCAATAAAATGAATGCATGAATGAATGAAAGTGAAACAAGTGTATTTACCTTTCCAAAGTAACCAGGGTGATATTTGTCAAAGTTGATACGATGATGGTGAAGACCACCAGCATTACCACGACCACCAGGATGTTTCCTGTGTTTACCTGAAATAAAACAAATATATTTCGTATTAATCAATTTTGTTCTATAGCATATTTAATGACGACAAGACACAAAATATTGTCATCGTACCTATGCGACCATGACCATGGCTGACGTGACCACGGAGCTTCCTGGTCTTCTTCTTGTGTGTGGACTGATCAGAAAAAAGGAAAGAAATTATAAACATTAGTTAATACATAACAAAGATTAAGAAAATAACAAAATAGTAATTTATTATGTAGGTTATGTTTGAATATGAATGCAACACCATAAGGTTAGGAATATTTACAATCAATATGTGATTATTTATTTGAAAAGAAAAATAATTCTAAGAAATTATATAGTGAAACATTAAGAAAATCGTAATCAGAACTATGAGTTCATTTTCATTCGGATGCTTTCAATAACTCTCGATTAGTAAAAAAGAATTTAAATATCACTCACTCACCATCTTGGCTGCGATGTGAAGAAAGAAGACCAGTGATTCCGGTGTTTCCTTCGCGAAAGTTGTGAACTTTTACCTAGATGGCGCGTGTGCGCTTAATCACGAATCAAATATTTCTGAAGTGACGGGAAGTACTTGTGCTTCCTTGGAATCAGATTCATCACTAAAATCTTTTGCATCGGTATTATTTAATAACAATTGTTACCAACACTGCACAATTTGTAAATAGTATTTAAATTTTTAATTAAATGAACACTAAAGGGCATTGTCGTACCAACTAGTGACAAGGTTATGTACTACTAATTGGAAAGTAGCTTGAGCATTTTGCCGTAGATGTCGTCATATGTATTTTTTTTATCATTGTTCACCATATACCCTCACGAGCAAACTCGGCTTCCGCTAAGGGAAAAAGTGGCGTTGAGAAGAGCCTCCTAAAATTTGGTATCGGGAATTATTGAAATTCATGCCAAATTAACATTTGATTTAACATTTATTTCAGTAGTTGAAATAAATTTATCAAGTGGTAGAAGGCCTTTACGTATACATTTCTTTTTCTCCTAGAGGAAGCCGAGTTTGCTCGTGAGGGGGACTCCCAGCCCACCTTTCAAATAATTACGTTGAACACGAGAACGAAGGATCAGTGGGGAGAGCTGCGTATGATTGCAAACCGTTAATTTATCAGTTTCTGGAAATTTGGCTCTCTGTAGCCCCGAAATGTTTAATTATCGAGCTTTTACTGTAGCTGAGCTCGAGTGGGTTTGAATGTAATTTTCGAATTCACCGTTCTGGTAACGTAGAGGTCGCTAAAATTACAGGGTACCGTTCAGTGCCGTTACAAACTTCTGGGTAAAGTTACTTTCTCATTGATCCAATCGTTTCGATTGGTTGAATGATAGGGAATCTAATAAGTTGTACACCGTTTCATTGATAGTAACTATGATAGCGGAATGATTCGAAGATGTAATCAGTAATCGCAGCGTGCGGGAAAGCAAATCTGTCAACTGCAGAATTCTATTCATTATTTTGAAGTAGAAAATTGAAGGTGACATCAAATAATTATTGTAATGATTCTTTATTTTGTAAAATAAATTCTACTAAGTGTAATTATATTAACAAATTTTATATGAAAATATTCCCCTGCATACATAGGTTAATCTGTTATTCTATGCAATGATAAGATCATATTGAAGCGCTTACAATAAAATCGTATAGCATACATTAATAATTTGTTTTATTGAATAATCATGGCAAGTGAGAGTATAGACCTAGATCAAGATTTAGCTCAAAGACTTCTAGTCGAAGGTGCTACACTAGTTGTATTAAATGTACCAAGTGGCACAGAACTAGGAATTGATTTAAAATCTTGGAACACAGCAGATACTTTTAAAGGCATCAAAATGATCCCACCAGGATTTCACTATGTTCATTATAGGTAATTATATACAATTGAATACTTTTTTTAACATTATATTTATGTACTTTCGTTGAAGCGCTGTAAATGAATTTGGAGAATCAGCACCCAAAATTGGTTTTCTTCATACATTTACAAAATCAGAATTTGTAGTCAAACGGTGGGATGCAAAAGCAGAAGATCTTAGTTCAGAAGGTATAGTAATATCTACTATATGCACATGTTGATTAACTGAAATACTGTAGAAACAAGTTTGAATTTCTTTTCTAAAGCTGTATCAGATGAAACAGTCCAAAGGTTGAAAGATAACTTAAAAGATTTAGATAGATATCTGGGATGTTATCCTTATGATGTATGGAAGCAATGGAAAGACTTAACAAATCACATTAGTCCTACCTTGGTTGAACGTTGTTCACCTCTGTGTGGGTCTGTAGAAGAACATTATAAGTCATTAGTCTGCAGTATTTATGTATTTTTTAATATAGTGTAAATTTATATACCTTATTTTAGGTTTGTTCAGTCAGCCTTAGAGTTAGAGCATTGTAGTGATGCAATGAGACCAAGGGGTGGGGTGTCAAGTCCAAAAAGAAAGAGGAGTGGAATTACTGTAGAAGAAAAGGAAGAAGAGTTGCTTCCTGATTTGAAACCTAAGCCAGGCACAGAGCTTCGGTTGTCTAAAGTACCCAATAAAAATTATCCAGATGGAGCATCGCCAAGTGAGATCACAAAGCATTCCCTTGATTCCAGCTATGCACTAGAAACACTTCTCAAGGAGTTACCACAGTAAGATTAGAAGTCACTGTCTTTTTATACACTTGTACATAGTGTAAAGATGTCTTGATTAATCTTTTCTAGACCTATGGAGATTATTGGTGAAATGCAGCTGGCATTTGTTTGTTTCTTGGTCGGACAAAGTCTTGATGCATTTGAACATTGGAAGAAACTTGTATCGTTTATCTGCGGTGCTGATTCTGCGATACCACAGCGACGTGGCATCTACATGGAATTTATGAAAGCGTTAGAGATCCAATTAACGCACGTACCCGAGGAAATACTTTGCGACATTGTAGCTAACAACAATTTCGTTTACTACAATTTACGCAAACTTTTTGCAAATATTGAGGCTAATTCAGATATAGATGGTCGGTTGAAGTGTCACGCCTCGCGATTCCGCAGTCGATTATCGACCAAGTTCTCGTGGGATTTTTCTAATTTACAAGATGATAGTGACGATGACGCGCCTGTAGTTGTATCTTTGGAATAAGGATCTGAATATATGTATATGTACAATACGAATGAAGATCAACGATACTCAATAGAAATGATACACAACACAATATGTACATACTTGTTTCTTGTATATTTATACTTTTATTAAGAGTAGGTAAATAAGTACATTGTAACGTATAAATAAAATTAAATTTATTAATATCGTATACTGTATATTATGAATATTACATTACACTTATATTATGTTCTATTTCGGATGTGTTTAATTAAATGCAATAGTACTCAATAAATAATCAGTTTCGGTCAATCACAATAAAATGTTATACACTCTCAAGTTTCATTCTTCCAATTTAGTGTAGTTTAACGAAGACGCTGAAACAATTAATTTACAATATTTAATTTAATGCCCATTACTTCATGAAATGAAGTTTAGTATTTAAATACTCACTGGGTGAGGTGGACGTGGAGGGGGAATATACACTGGTCGCGACGGTTTTGCGGGATTAGGTTCCGGATCTGCTTCACGACGAAGACGCTGAAGAAAAGAATTGACCATATGTAATACAGCATACTTATAATTGTTTGTTAAGTAAACTTTGTTAGTACTGACACTGACGAGGTATAAGAATAGACTTTTCATCTTATGGGAATTAGTGGCCCACCTAAACTGTAGTACCGACACCTTAAAAAGTCTGTGATTATTGCGACCTCCACGTTATGAGAACGGTAAATTTGCGGTGGGTAGTGACACTAAAATGGAAATGGGGCGATATCGCCCCAAAAAAGTGGGCCGACAAAATACATTGGATGAAATGTTTACTCCTATACCTCGTTTGTGGCAATGAATACTTACGGGGTGAGGTGGTCGTGGAGGAGGAACATATACTGGTCGGTATGCAGGTTCAGGTTCGGCGTCTGCTTCACGACGAAGACGCTGAAAAATATGAATAGAATTTTTAAATACAATATTCTTTAAAATATGTGTTTTAAAAAAATTAATTATATTCTGTAAATACTTACAGGGTGAGGTGGTCGTGGAGGGGGAACATATATCGGTCGCGATGGTTTTGCGGGTTCAGGCTCCGGATCTGCTTCACGACGAAGACGCTGAAAAATATGAGTGGAAGTTTTAATACAATATTCTGTAAAATATGTATTTCAATAAAATTGATTATATGTTGTAAATATTTACAGGGTGAGGCGGTCGTGGAGGGGGAATATACACTGGTCGTGACGGTTTTGCAGGTTCAGGTTCCGGTTTAGCTTCACGTGCAACGCGCTATAATAGATATCAATAGTTTTATGTAATTAAGTCTGTATCTATATTAATAGTCTGTCTTTGTGGTTTATGTACAATTATATAGAATACGGAAAATTAGTTTTACCGGATTGGCTAGTTCTAGTATTTCGTCGATAACTCTGCTGTTTCCATCTGCCATCGCCGCACCGACGATGGCCAAAATTGTTAGGGCCACAAATGTCTTCATGACTATATTGTGTCTCATCCACCAATATGTGTTATTTGTATTCCTGTTGAAGCAATTAATTATTTGTTACTTGCTGTTGACAGTATATTTGCTGGGATAGAATGGTATGTATTAATTATTTATCTAAGTTAAATAAATTTTAAATTTGATCGCATGGCCAATATTTGTTAAGTAAGTCACTTAGTAAAATTTGTAATTTACAACTTACCAATAATGTCTGCTAAGTGGATAGTTCTGCAGATTAGAAGATACTGATGTCTGATGCGTTCTACAGCAGCGTATTTATACGGAACGTTCGACATCGCTTTATCCCCGAGAAAGTTCAAGGTCCTCAGGCACTTGCTTGGGAACCACCGTCTACGCGACACAAATATATGATAAGTCATCTGTTTTATTGATACTCTATCATCTCTTTCCTCGTGCAAAGACATTTTTCGGTTACATTTTATTTTTGTATACAGTGTGTTGTAGAATGTTATAAATAATAATTTATTCATTGTATTTTTAAGGATTACAGTTACACCTTGACAACTTCTGCATATTTTCTATATATTATTTTATAGAATTATATATAATTTTATAGAATGTTTCTTAGAAGGGTGTCTTCTTTCACAATTTTCTTTTTCAGGGCCTGTCGGGGTCTGAGAGCAACAAAGTCAGTTTTTCTCGGGGTTGAAACTGGGCTTCTAATGTACCACTGTCTTTTTGAAGAAAAACCTATTGGTTTGATCATTTCTGGCATTCTATTATTTTTTAATGTTTTAAATAATAAATTATTTTCTTCTATTTCTTCACTGTCACCAAATTTTCGAATTTTCACCAAGCCTTTTGCGCACAGCATGATGAAATGTTAAGACGTATAATAAGTAATACTACGTAAATTTTTGAAAAATTTTCACAAGTAAGAATCTCAATCATACCATTTAGTATCAACAATTAATATTAATTTAATATTGCAAGAGAAAACAGCTGAAAACGGAAACAGGCAGCCCCATTACGGAATGCATAACTTTAAACGTGTTTATTTTAAAAAGTCGTTTTCGTACATTAGCCTCTTTCTACCAGAGTACGTTGTATATCTATTTATACTATAAAAAATGTTTAAACAAAAATTTTGTAATAATGAAAATTCAGATTGAATATTTGAATTGAAATTCTACTGTAAAATCAATTTTTACTCAGATTTTTATGTAACTGAGTAGACAGTTTTTATAATAATATTAAAATTCATGAAAATATTTGCGAAGAGATAGGTCATTCACACTACACGTCGTGTTAATTAGGAATTCAGTTTGATGCGAATGTTTGCGGGTCGCTGGGGAAGCACCGCTGCGTATACGAATAATAAAACAAAGACGCACGCGACTTTCCTCATTGGATTGCATAACTTTAAACGCGTTTATCGTAAAAAGTCGTTTTAGCACGTTAGCCTTTTTTTACCAGAGCACATCGTATATCTATTTATGTGATAAAAAAGGTTTAAACAAAAATTTTGTAGTAATGACAATTCAGATTCAAAATTTGAATTGAAATTCTTCCATAAAATCAAATTTTACTCAGATTTTTATCTTACTGAGTAGACAGTTTGTATAGTAATATTAAAATTGATGAAAATTTGCGAAGAGGTGGGTCATTCACACTATACGCTGCGTCAATTACGAATTCAGTGTGAAAGTTCGCGGGTCGCTCGGGAATCACCGCAGCAAATATGAATAATAAAACAAAGACGCACGCAACTTTCCTGGATTCCCCTCGATGTTTGAACTAGCGAATCAATAACATGCCATAGATTTGCAACATATTTCCTTATTTACATTCGTACGACTAACTCCATCTTCTATTTGCGTGCCCGTTCCAGTGTTACAGTTTATAATCTTCTGAATACTAATAATAACGCTGTAATCATTAAAAATAAATTATAATCGCTGATATGTTATTCCACATTCTTTACTAATATTTCTAAGTGATAAATGTAATTAATATAATAATGGAAAAAAATAATGTTTCCGCCCGGGATCGAACCGGGGACCTTCCGCGTGTTAGGCGGATGTGATAACCACTACACCACGGAAACCGTTGGAACAAACTCTTTAAAATTGAGAAATGTAGTCCTATCCAGTAATTTAAAAACATGTAATTTCGTAATGTAAATTTTCACATTAAACATTTATAAAAAATATTAAAATCTGTAGACTGTGGATGTTTACCTAAATATAAGGTTTGATGGATTATTTTACAAAAAACGTAATGCAAGAAAAATTTATTTATTTCATTAAGGGTCCTATTAACCCAGCAAAGAAATAACAATCAAATTTACTAAACTTCTACTACGAAATTTATATGTAACAATGAACTTTTGTCGAAGCAATTTATTCCAAAACGGTCATATCTATGCATACATATGTATATGTATGTATTGTATGTATACATATATAATCCAGTACAAAGAAGTATAAATAGTACAATCAGATTAATACTTGAAAACAGGAAACTTCTTATATCTATCCAATAAAATTTTATTTGTATGTAATAAAAATATAAAGTTGTGTTTCTAACAGGTAGAAGTAAGTAGAAACACGGCCTTGCTTTATTTCCAAACATTCTTTTATTTTATACAAATTAACGTACTTATATAGTAACTCAATTTCTGTTTAATACAACTTATTTAGGAACAGCTTGCACGCTATTTTCAAGGGCTCGTTTCTCCTCCGACAGCAGCGTCACTTTTTCTTCGTATTTTTCCCGAAGATCTCGGAAAAGACCTAGCTGCGTTTCGTATTCCTCCTTCAGATCCGCGTTCAGTTTCACCGCGTTGTCCAGTTTATTTATTATAGTAGTATAACGACCCCGTTCTTCGGAGATCTGCCCTTCCATGTCCTCAACTTCTTTCTATATTATTTTACAAACAAAAATATTTACTTCCACAAACTTTAGGTTGGTTTCGATTAAACCAATTATACAAGACAATTATGATGGGTGGGAATGACGTTGATACACTATCGCCCTGCACAAAAATATTTACAAATCGTAGGAGAACAAGTTGGACGCTTTCTTTGTTAATAGTGGAGGTAGCTAAACGGTTAGTCGACTGATGTAATAGGAATAGATCCTGATTCTCTTCTAACCATCTACTCAGCCCTTTATCAACTAAATATTCAAGTAACAGATTAACCAGTTTACAATTTTTCTAATTCAGACATTTTACCTGCAGCTGTTTAACTTCCAGGTTGCGGATTTGCAAAAGACTCCTTGTGAGAGTTTCGACTTCTTTTAGCGAAGCCACTTGACTATTCAATGCGCTGATTTGTTTCTCCTGATTGCAGACAACACGGATTCGGTCCTCTAATTGCAACGAGGTCTGGATCAGCTTAGCCTTTAATTGATCCACCATACGTCGAAGCAAGACTTCCTCGCCTTCGCCCTTTAACAAGGCATCGTATGACGCTTGCAGCGCGCCTAGCTTCTTTTCAGTAATTTCTAGCTTTTTACGATAGGTATCTCGTTCCACGATCGCTTTCTGTAAACGGAGAATGACAATGTTAAAAATTCACTACTGCAATCGAACTTAGCTATGATTTGAATAAAATATAGAACTAATTTTCCATATTTTCTTTCTTCATTTCATTTTTATCCAGATTCTCACCTTGACTTCGTCTTTTAAATTTGATACTGTAGATTCGTCGCTGCCGGTTTTCGAATTATCGTCAGCAAGCGATTTGTCCTTTGGCACAGGCGCTTGATCGCCGATTTCTACGTCGGGTTTCTGAGCTGTGTTAGTGTTTTTTTGAAGATCCGTCTCGGAACAGATGTCTCCAGCGCCTATAAACGACTGCTCTTGAAGTTCAGCAACCTTTGACTATAAACAGAATATAACAAATTACGATACTAATAATAAATATTTTGTATATTTTTAAAATATCTAAGTAATATCAGTATTTTATATGCCTTTATAAGATCCTAGTTAAAATTACCGGCTCTTCATTTTGTTTGCATTCAGAAATCGCCACAGCATCATCCGTTGTATTCTTCGCAGTCTCGGTTGCTGGAGTTTCGCATTCCATTGTAACTCCGTTTGTCGGTACGTCTCCATTCCTAATCTCAGATATGTTTACTTCCTTCTGAGGTGTTGGCCCGACGGTTTCATTTATCGTGTCTTGTGCAATCTTTGGTTCTGTCGTTTGCGGAATTGCAGTTTGTTCCTCGACAACAGGGGCGACAATATTTTCGGTATCACTGGAAATTACGTTCGCCACGGTGGTCGGTTGATCAGGCTTCGCCGCCTCATCTTGATTAGTGTCTGATTTAGGTGTCTCCATGTCAGACATTTTTATCTGGAAGAAATGTCACTCTTATAATAGAACACGAATCGGAACAAACGAACAGCGGTGGCGTTCTTTCGAAAATTTCAATCTACAATGGATTATAAACTTCACGAATACTTCCGTTCGAATCTATTTTTTAATATAGTGGTTCACTCGAAAAGTTCGTAGAGTTTTCGGGAGTAGAATTGAGGTTCTTTGTACAATCTATTCCCGTTTTTCGAAAATTTTGAATACATTTTTGAATCCTTTGTTAGTTTTCAAAGTTCCGTCTTATTGTAGAATGTACCGGTGACTTGAACGAATGGTTATCCGACAATAAACGTTCTGATAAATAGGGTAGATGATGTAAAATGGCGTAAAAGTTCCTAATAGAAATAACGCGGTTACTTTTACACGTTTAATGTAGCATAAGGGATATGCACTTTGTACTCGACGATGTTTTTGTTTTTTTGTATTTCTCACAAAAAAAAAAACGAGAAATCAAAGAGTAACTTGCACAGTGGATACATTTGAAATGTTAATCGAAGACAATATAAAACGCTATGAACTTTTCAATCAGCGGAATAAAACCGATCAAAGCGTCGTTTGGTGTACTGAAAAGTTAGTTAAATAATGTCGACGAACTAAATTTTTTCGTATTAAACGAAGCAACGCGGAATACTTCGGCACGTTGTGCTGTATAAACACCAAAAATCAAATTTCGAATTACCAAAAAGGAGAAAGCAACGCTTGTCGCAAAACGATGTTTCTTTTGAACGTGATTGATACTTTCACGCGAACCAACTGGATATCCAGAACTAACCGAAAGTCCGATGTATTTTTGGACATTCTACGGCTCATTCTATTTTAAACTATCGTAGACGTGCGCCAGTCGAACGACCAGCAAACTAAAAATCGTAGCCCATCAGGAACAAAAATTTCATGTTCAAATTATCGTTTCTCTGACGATTAAAAATGTTATCGATTTACGGAGTCGATGTATGTAACAGAATATGATCGTGTAGAATCCTGTGGATAATTTAATTTCAAAATATCATGCAACACGAGCTCTCCGGTCGAGTTTGTATGAATGAATGTAAATGTAATCAAGAAAGGTATTGAGGGAGAATTGATGTATTAAATATTAATAGAAATTGCTCGTATTGAAGATAAAATAGTTATATATTGCATTTGTTTCATTCGTATCGTTTCTCTTTCGCGAAAATTGTTCGATATGCGGTTTGAGAATGAAGATCGATTAACGTAGTCACGTTGCTCACAGTGTCGTGCTCGAAACATTTCGTACCTCGGCGTGGGAGGTATTTCGTATAAATTACATGGTAAATGCAGAAAAAAATGTTATCATTGCGTGGAGGACAATCTTTTTTATGGATATTGTGTAAACTCCAGAATTGTTATTGACATGTTGACCGATGGTGCACGAGGATTATGTACATAACCTCATATTATGTATTTTCACGTAGCATTACTCATAAAAATGTATTGTCATTATGTCATAAATACTATTTCTGATTATGATTGTATTTTTTATTATATCATAATGAGTTTTACTTTTCATTATTTTACAGATAATTAATTAAGGTATGGAAGAATACGGAAGAGAACCATGCCCCTGGCGTATAATAGATGACTGTGGGGGTGCATTTACAATGGGTGCAATTGGTGGTGCTGTCTTTCAAAGTATCAAAGGCTTCCGCAATGCACCCAGTGGAATAAACAAACGTTTTCTGGGAAGTTTAATGGCTATTAAACAGCGATCTCCAATTATCGCTGGAAATTTTGCAGTGTGGGGTGGTATGTTTTCCACAATAGATTGTACATTGGTTCACATTAGGAAAAAGGAAGATCCGTGGAACTCTATTATCAGTGGAGCAGCAACTGGGGGTATATTAGCAGCAAGAAATGGTTTACCAGCTATGGCTGGTAGTGCTATTATTGGTGGAGTATTACTGGCTTTAATTGAAGGTGTAGCAATATTTTTTACACGTATGTCTGCAGAACAGTTCAAACCTCCCTCCTTCACAGACGATCCACAATTTGCATCGCCACCACATGGCAATCCATCGTAAAGCATGTATAAATATTTTAGACACATTTCAAATTACGCAACTAATTAAGTACAAATGTTTCATATTGAATGAAACAGTAGTAGTTGGAAGCTATTCGATCACCAGTATATCAAATTTGTATAGACAATTTGAACCTCTGATTTAAGAAATAATAATAGTTCGTTTTTTATGTAATGTTGTTCCTTTCTTTACTTTTATTGAACTATTGACACAAGTGAGATAGTGCAGGACTCATATGTTGAGTCATCGGTCTTAAATGTATTAAAAGACAAACTGAAACTAATGATACCTAAATATAATATATATTGGTAAAATAAATGACAATATATTATCATTGGATTTTATTCTTTTGTAGAAAGGTAAGCTTTAAGAATTATAGAGTTAATTAAGTTATCACTAATAATACATATATACAAGGTATAGCACATATAATATTCAGGACTATCACATATCTTCATCTTCTTCTTCTTCTTGAAAGTATTTAAGAGCTGATGCTATAGACAAATCCAAAGATTTATTTGATGTATCTTGTTCCGTTTCATGATTTGATTCATGTGACGGAGACTTCTCTTCTGACTCTTTCATTGATTTATTCATCATTCCAAGTAAATGAAGTTGTTCCACCTTGAAAATGTTTTTTGAAAAAGTTGCAGAATGGGTAACAATCGTATTACAAATGAAGTACTCACCTGCAGTCTATGTACTTGGCTATCAATTTTCGTCAATAGTTTTACCAAAAATTCCTTTTCTTGCTTCAAATCTCTTTGAAAAGCGAGCAATTCATTTGCACCCACTTTTATGTCAGAAATTTTCAAATCGTTATCCATCTTCAACAATTTTATTTTAAGTTTTACGAACTTATTACGTTTGGCACTATGTAAGTGAACGCAGATATATATGTCTCATGAGTCGCATTTTTGGTTCCCAACGAAACAGACAGTTTCTTTCAGAATTTTTTCGTGAATAATACCCATATAATGTATAATTATAGTCTTTATCCAATTTCATAGAATATTAACTCAAGAAACTTCGAAAAATTCATTTCGCATAATGTATAACGCGTTATTTGTAGGTTCTGTTGTTTTGATCAGCATACAGTATTGCCAACTTAACCTGCTGATAACTTCAGGTTTTTTCATTCCGTAATTCAGTTTATAAGGTTTGTCAGCCTACATTTCATTATTTAAATTTAAATACATATATCACATTGAAGTTTATTTTAATTGGGATAGGATTCAGAAGTGTGCTTCATACAGTAATATAATAATACTTTATTCTTTCTACAGAATTCTACGTAAAACTACAGTTTAATCACAATTTATCGTAATTGAATTTATTTAGGTACAGGATTCTTTAATGGATCACAATATAATCCATATAACTATGTGATTAATTAATTTATAAACTTTCGAGTGGTCGAGTTAAGTTAAATAGAATCAACACGAATCTTAGCTTTCAAACACAGTTTCATTATACAGTATTTAGTATCTTATTTAGTTTTTGATTTGTAAATGACTACCTATAAAAGATTAAAACCTTTTTGCTTTTTACTTAGTTTTTGTTTTATCTTTATGTTTAATTACTGTATAATGTATGATATACATTGTCATCGACATAAGATTTGTGTTAGATTTTATGTACATATACATACAGAATATATTCAAATTGGGAGCACAACTACTGTTATCATGCTACCATTATAGAACAGTTATGATTTGTTATCATGAATGCCACAATTTATGAAGTTCATTAGTCTTAGTTAATACGATCACACTAACATGCGACCCACTGATAATGAGTATCAATTATCAGAATATTTTCGTCGATGATTACACATTTTTTCAAAAATACAAAATCTGTTCAACTTTTTCCTTTATTGGGTTATAATTTACGAATTGCTCAAATGTTTTATTCAAATCTTTTCTTAAATATATTTTAATATTTCACAATTACAAGATGAACAATAAATATGTGTGGTGGAATAGAAATTGAGGATGATAACATTAAACAATAATTGTCCTCACCAAAAAGAAGATTAATCTCTAGATGCGTCTAGTAAGCATCTAAAGTAGTATTTTCACAGTTTTTTTTTACAATATTTACTGCGCGTAATCATTGGTATTTATAATTACATATATAAATATCGTTATACCATTTACACAAACTGAGGTATATGGTAACCTTGCGAGACGATTTGAAGAACCAATCTTGCGGATCGATTCGATTAATATTGCCATCGCGGCATATACGAATTTAAAAAGAAGAATCAAAATAAATAATTCATATAATCGGTATATACGTCTTTGAATTTCTATTCTATATTCGATTAATTTTGATAAGTAACTTGCAAGATCAATGGCAGGTTGTGTCTTACAATATTACATTCCTTTTTGTCCTGTCACAATTAATTTTTCACACGTTATCGGGTTAATGATTGTTTGCTGCAGCAGTCAAGGGGGATCGGTTCAAAGTACCATCAGAGGCGCGGGAGATTTGAAATTTCTCGTTGCTCTCGTAAGTTCACCAATCGTCGTTAAATCGTAGACCGTAAATTCGTTCGTTGCTGCAGCAAGAAACCCGTCAATCTTTTGAAGAGGTGGGCGGTGATTCCCGACTATTGTCGCTCGTGAAATTCGATAAACCGAGGCCGCCGGTTTCGTGACTCGAAGAGCTGGTGGGTGAATTGCTGCTACTCCTCGCGCCACCCAGCGGCGCCACAGTAGCATTCTCGGTTGGTATCAGACCTTCTTTCATTCTCTTTTTCTGCTTCATTCTCCTGTTCTGAAACCAAATTTTCACTTGCGTCTCGTTTAGCTGCAACGCGGACGCGATCTCGATGCGTCTTGCTCTGGTCAGGTACTTGTTGAAGTGGAATTCCTTCTCGAGTTCCGTGAGCTGCTTATTCGTGAAGTTGGTTCGGCCGGTATTATTGAAACCACCTGCAATGCTGGCCAAGGGACCTCCGGTAAGGCAGTTTACGGGACCGTTTGTTGCATTGGTGTACGCCGATGCACTCGTGCCTCCGATTGTGCTGCCACTGTAGTCCCCCACGTTTGGATTCGTCTTTGCTACTGCAACAGATGTTAGTACAATTTTTATTAGTTTTTTTCTGGTGTACTATTAAGATAGAAGAATCTTTCAAATGGGCCTTACACGGTTACTAATATTGATTTAATGATATTGGTAGTATATCATTATAGTATGCCTTACACTATTACTGTCAGTATTTCGGCTCAGTACCCACGTGTTTTCTTATTCGGTATGAAACATACATATTATTACACGTGTATGTATACTGTGATTACTGTCAATATCCTTACAATTCAACGAGGATGCCCAGGGGTCAAAATATATGGACAGGCGTCAGTATTCATTGTCAATGTCAGTCGTCTAAATTTCCCAATTAACGCTTTGGATGACCAGACAGTTCAGTCGTTGATGATAGCGCGTCACTTAAAGGGACGTATATTTGGCTTATGTCCCTTACAATCTCGGTTCCATTAATATCCACGGGTACGTGTTCAACGTGTCCATGGCGAAGGTTAAAGGCAATATCAGCCGAATTAAGCTGAAGTTTAATCCTTCGGCCCACAGCCGTTTATTGTCCAACACAGCTGGTCAGTGTTCTGAGGAACGGACCTGTCCAACGGCAGAGGACCGATAGGGTTAAGCCCTAAATCTGGATCAAATTGCATCAGCTGTTGTCGAGTGTCAAGGGTAGTCCGTTACGTCATTTTACTGTGCCCGTATTTATTCGATCCGCCATGTTGGTCATTCGAAAGACATTGCATAATTCGATCTTTAGCCTTTTCATCGCTACATGTACGGATTTAGAAAACCAGTCGCTACAGTAATTAGTTAATATTGTCTAACGATATGTATTTCTGATACGAAAGCCAATTGCAGCTAAGTAAGGGGGAAAGAACGATCCGTTCTTACGAAGAAAGGCGGCGCCGCTTACGCATTATGGAAATTAGATTGTTATTTAGTCCTCCGGTATGTGGAAGTCAATTTACTTAATGGCAGAGGGTGGACGAAACTGTCAAGGCACCGCCTTAGAGCTACGTCTTCTTTTATTTTTTCCACCCGTGTTTGCGCCTGTACCGTTTCGTGGCACTTGCACCTATACACAGTGTTTTTCTATTTTAGCCCGTAAATTTTCCTACGAATGTAGACCGTTACCAAGCACGAAACGTATTGTGCTTGACGGATTTTCCGAATAATCCGAAAGCATCAGTCACTTAAAACATTGTGCCCGGGCACTTGGACCGTGGCCATTAAGCCTGTGCGCATCTTCAAGCCCGAATAATCAAGTTGGACAAGTTCTATTAACCATGGCCGGCGTGATACAACGTAATGTTTTTCGTTTTCGCGACTCATTCATCAATTTAGCACCTTAACGGGAGGACAGAGCCCCGTTGGCTGCTGATTTTCTACGTTGGATTTCAACGGCTGGAGAAGTCCCCATCAGACGGGAGTCATTAGTTGGATCTGGGAACTTTTCTTGTATTTTTTTTGGGATTTGTTTTGGATAAAAACAGGCTGGAAATAAATTTCTGAATTACTAAGACATTCGAAACTTCGTTTAGGTTTAACTCGGGCTTAAGAATGTATATTTTTCTTAGAAAACTAATATTTGTCCTTTAAAATCACGTTTTGTTGTTGCGCTAGCCAATGATAAGCAGGATGAGACAGATATGCCATATAAATGATGGTAAAAGTCCACTGATCTTCTTCTGGTAATGATCTGCGCGATCTTACGCGTTACTACGTGTTAATAATTTAGCACATAATCGAGATAATTTTCAACCAGCATTACCAGCACATTTAATGGGAAGCACGAGACGATGATACGAGGTTACATCCCACATTTTGCTACGCTTCATCATTTTCTATTCGAAAGTTACCAACATCAAAGCATCGTAACAATAAAAGACGAGCTAATATAATTGATTACGTCTATCAGTGTCAGTTAATTAGGATTACGGCCATATATCATTTTGCCACTTGAACTATATGTATCATCTTGCGCATAAGTAGTAGTGACGAAATACAGGGAACGTCAATGCAGTGACGAAATATGTTGGACGTCAATGCTACGTTAATATGCAAAAGAATTTTTTCAACGCATAAATTTCCACAAAGTAATTTTTCTTTCGTTATGAGATCTAATGACGAGAATAGGAAGAATTCTATTTTTCTTTTAATATTTTTGAAAGTCATCGACCGTATCTGCAATTCCGTCAATTCATCGATAGCGAACGGATTCGATATGTATTCGAACGACAGGGAATAAAACGACGAAAAATCCACAGAGTGCTGCCGGCAAATCTTTTTGCTTTTTCTATTCCCGTAATTTACAAGATAAAAGTAGACGTTATGTAATCCGCATTAGTGTCTTGCCACTGAATAATCGATAAAACTCGCGCGATACGTCGTTTACTGTTCGCTCGTGATAATAATCAGCCACGTCCGATTTCATTTCTGAAAAGACAAATCTCGTACGGCGCGACTGATCGGGGAAACGGTTGCTGGAGCGTAAATGAACGAATCACTTTCGATTAAACGGTGCCCCGGCACCGCGGCAATTATAGAGTTTCCTCCTCGACGGACGTTAATAACGGTAATTAAAATTATTAGCATCGATCAGTGATGCGAACGAGCGCGCGTTCGCGTCCCGTTTAAGGGATGTCTCTACGTCTTGCGTTTTTATTACCAGTTTCTTTAAAATTTACAGTTCTTAAAAAGAACACACTTTATTATGTGGTTTTTGAGATAATCGATTGGCGTAAGGACATTAAACTTGTGGAATCAGATATTTGTGATTGCGGTAATAGGCTTGTTTGTGATGGCAGTTTAGAGAGTAGCGAAATAAATACTTTAGAATAAAATGGTGTAGTGGGAGAATAATGAATACAAAGTTCCACCAGTAGGTGGTACAGACGGAACGTGCATTGGTGTTTCAAAGCATTGCATTTTAACTACACAATGCATAGCAAATGCATTAAATTTCGCCAACCCTTACACGACAGCTTTCATTTTGTTTCTCCATTTATCACGACTTATCACTAAGAACCTTATCCTCATCGCTGGTTATACATACATTATTCTAAAGTTATGAATTCTGCAGATTCCGATGAACTCAGCATGCGTGCAATAGTTTAGAATACAAGTGTGTGTAAAGAGGAATAGAAGTCGTAGGGAAGTATTGAAGAAATTTGTTATTAGAATTTGTGAAAATACTATTTTAGAGTTGATTCCATTTGAGAAAGAGTTATTTACTATAATTAGTAAATAGTTTTCGTTTTTTTTTTAACAAAGATCATCTGATAATTATCTGACAGATCGAATAGATATGAATGATATCGAATATGGCCATCCACGTGTATTTATACGTCGAGACGAAACAGTGAGTCCCCTCGCGATGGTGTTAATAAATTTCTTTTTTGTCTTCATGACGTTGCTTCGATCTTTGTTCGATCGCGAACACGAATCTCCACGGGGACGGAGTGAAAGTCCTGGAGACCGGAAATTATTTGTCCTGGAAGCAAATGAGAACAGGACGACGCGTCACGGGAGAGGGTAAGAGGTGACAGAATAAGGAATAGACAGATTAGGAAGGGTTAAAGACCGAGATAGCGTGGAATTAAGAGGGTCGTTCGAGATGTTAATTATTTTTTGACGGAACAGTCTAATCTGTTAATAAGGTATCGTTAACACTCGACCCTTAACACTCGAAGAATTTTTGTAAATATTTACCTAATTCAATTCCTCAGTTCCATTTTTATTATTGATTCTAAGGATATTATTAATTTTTTCCGCATCGATTAATATTTTAAGGTACTGTAATCTATTTATAGACACTAGTACGTTGTGAAAAGAACAGTCAAATTAAGGTGAATGTTAAGGGTGAAACGGTAAATACACATTTTACATGAAAATGAACTCATCCTTGAACGTAAAATTGATTTCAGTACTTCATGTTAACAGACCAATGAATAATAAATTCCTGGGGTGCCATCCCTGTTTAACAAAGCAGAAATTCCATGAGTACACTTTATTCAGTGGTATGTACCTATTTCGTTGGCTCCATCAAACTTCGCTAATCCAAGTCAAAATTCTTATATCATCTTATCGACTGGGAGTTCAACTTCTGTCGACAGACATCGTTCAATATTACACTGCACTTCTCCGTTCACTTTTTCACATCCATTCTTAAGTCTTCTACCAGTGGAATTTTTTTACTAATTAGTCCACATTTTAGACGTCCATCGAAAACATAGTTCTTCACTAATAACAAATATTTTCGACTGTCCTTCAATCGTTAACTTTTTCACATTCTTTGCTAAATCTTGCACCAGCAGAATTTTCTACCAAAAACAATTACATAATAATAACAAACATTTTCGACGTTCTATTGTACTCCCAACTACCGTTCACTTTTTCATGTCCATCGTTAATTCTTCTACCGGTGGAATTTTTTACCGATCAGCCAACATCGTCGACGTCCACCGAAAAAGTGATTAAAAGTAGTATCCCAAGTTACTGGCACAACGTGAATCGACCAAGTGCACTTAAGCTCGCGACCGGACATGAATGTAATTCTCGCACACAGGGTCGTAGCAGTAGTCGCAAACGAGGGTGTATATGTGTGTGCACGTGCTGGTTAATACAGGTAACACCTAGCCGCGGTTTTGAGGCATGCATGCCAGACTGGGTTCGTTCAAAGCCCCCCCCCCCTTCGATTAAATCTCACCTGGCTTTAATATTATTATTTTACGCGGCGCCTGCCAGTGAAAACGGTTGGTGAACGCGCGCCGCCGGTGGAAGAACGGCCGTAGGAAATTGGAAAGAGAGGGAGAAAGTGTAGTGTAGATAATACCCGCGGATAAAGGCGAATTGATCCACGTGAGCGATGTCTAATCGGGAAATATGGGGTAGGGGTGTGATCTCGAATTTTTTAGTTAGAATGATTATAGGAATTTTTCGGGCCAGTTTATGATTGAAGTAAATATTTTTTTAATGGTAAATTAAGCTTGACAATTTAATAGAAATGGGTTATTGTATAATC